TGGTTCTTCCCCTGCCACGACTCCGCAGAGACCATTGACTGCTGCTGACTCGGTCTCCGTTCAATATAGTAGCAGTGCTTCGACGCCCTCTCGATCTACGATGACGAGGAACCGAGCAGAGACCGCAGCACCCTTACTCACGGTACGAAATGGAGCGGACATGGGATCCTCTCTCGACGGCCAAGCCGAATCCTCCGAGCGCCCCCCACTGCCCTCGATACGTTTCATCCCCCACCACGATCCGCGCGCCAGCAGACCATCCCTCGTCTTCCCCACTATCTCTCGAACGCTGCCAAACGGCGACGCCGTGATCCGCGTAGGTCGCTACTCAGAGCGCGACAACGCACCTGAGATACCACCGAACACGCCTTCAGCCGCTCCTGTCGGCTTCAAGTCTAAGGTTGTTAGCAGAAGACACTGCGAGTTCTGGTGCTCGAACTCGCAGTGGTACATCAAGGATGTGAAAAGCTCGTCTGGTACTTTTCTCAACCATATCAGGTTAAGTCAGCCCGGCGTGGAGTCGCAGCCCTATCCTGTGAAAGACGGCGATGTTGTACAGCTCGGTATTGACTTCCGTGGTGGCGAGGAGATGATATTCAGATGCGTCAAAATTCGGATAGAGTGCAACAGGGGTTGGCAGCAGAGATTAAACACATTCAAGTACGTCTGTTTGAGACTATGATCTAGACGCGCCGCTCACCATGATACCAGCAAATCGACACACGACCAGATTCGGAACCTGGCGAAAGGGGGAAAGAAGGACAGGAGTAGCGATACGTCCTCCGTGCACAGCTCCGAATGCGCTATATGCCTGAACTCGATAGCAGTAAGCTCCGACTGCCCACGGCACTCTGCAGGCCAATATTTGCTGACTCCCAACAGCCCTGCCAGTCCTTGTTTGTTGCACCTTGCTCGCACGTCTGGCACTACAAATGCATACGACCCGTCCTCAACGGCTCGACATGGCCACACTTCCTTTGCCCCAATTGCCGCGCGGTTGCCGACCTCGAAGCTGACGTAGAAGAGTACGACGTAGAAGAAGAGGAGTGGGAAGAGCGCGTTGAGGCAGCCATCGAGGTGTCAAGGCGCGAGAGCGAGGGCGCAGGCGCTCAGCTCACTCCCCGAGCATCGCAAGCGCCGCTCACGAATGGTCACGTGCAGTCCCCCAACGCAGTGGTCGACACCACTACCGCAGATCTAGAGGAACAAATGAACGGGGTCTCGCTCCAGGATCACGACGCTGATGACCTTACTTCGGAAAACGGATCGTTAGCCGTGCAGCCCTCGCTGTCGTCCTTCTCCACCTCTCATCCTATTTCCATTGGCTCACTAGGCAATGCGCTCGAACTTCAACACACCCGTTCGGGGGTGGAGCTCCCCATGACGCCTCGTAATGACGCTGGACCCTTCGTCTTCGACGGCAGCGCAGGGCGCGGCATGAGGGAGATGGCTCTTGATGCTGATGATGAGGATGTCTATCCCGCAGTTAATGGATAGCCTCGCAACGCCGCTGGTGGATATCGACCTTGGCTGGCTTGCGATTACCAAGCAAGGAGATCGAAATGTGTAGGATCTACGGTTACACATGAGTAATGAGCGGTCCACTCATCACGCATTACCTGTCGCGATCGTATGGGTTTTGGCGCCATCCCCTCCGCATCGTTTCGCATAACCCCATTCCGTTGGCGTTGATCGCATTAATCAATGTATATTCCGAGTTCACTCCCATCTAGCGTTCTGGCGTCTGTCTCGATTTAGCATCTCAGCGGCCTCGGTGGCAATGATTACGTCTCTGTTACATCTTTCTTACTGCATTCGTATTCCGTAGCTATTTGGCTGGCTTGGACAAAATACGGCGCTTAAGAGTCAGACTCACGGTGGGCAGCATATGGCGCGCGGACTATGGTGTTCGAGTCCATTGATAGCTAGAACTCACGCTGCTCTCGGTACGGATCTTGCTTCCGATATAGCTTCAACTATTCTCCCTGCTTGGGTGCCGTTCTGGCCCTGGGCTTCTAAACAGTCCCATAAAGCACACTAAATCCTAAAGGGGTATCACAACGCCAGTCCCATGCCCCAAACCACAAACCCCCCCCACACCTCCCACACTCCACCATATCTCCACCCCCGCCTACGAAAACATCCGCCACCCCTCTCCCCACTCTGATCCAACATCGCCTCCCTCTTCCACTCCTCAAGCAGCACCATCACCTCCACCCTCGCATCCTCAACAATATGATCCATCTTAATATCATTCTTGTCATACCCGAACGGATCCTCGAGCTGGCTTCCAATCTCCTCAATTCCATACAACGTAAACGCCACCACCGCCACAATCGGCACCGCGAGCCATCCGGTCTCGGTGACGAGGCTGAACGGCAGGATGCACGTGTACAGCGCCAGCACCTGCCGCGCATGGATCAGATGCGCGACCGGCACGGGGGTTGTGCGTATCGTTTCCATGCGTCCGAACGCGTCGATTAGGGTGTTCGTTTGCACGCTTAGCTGGCTGGCGAGCGGGTGGTTGAACCAGCCGCGGTCGACGCCGCGCCGGATGTAGGCTTCGACCAGCACGCTCAACTGCAGTGGGAGGCTCAGGCCGGCGTCCTCGCGGCTGGTGAGCGCGGGCGGGAGGAGCGCGGTGTATTCGGGGCTGTAGATCGTCAGGGAGGACAGGGAGGGCCGGACCGAGGAGGCGAGGGGAGTCAGGCGCGCGGGGAGAGTGGTGATGGGGGTGGGCATCATGGTGGAGATGGGGACGGGGTGTTGCCATTCGGCGCGGAGGTTGTGCTTTATGGCGTAGAGGACGGCTAGGAGGATCCGGATTATGGCTTCGGTGTCTGCGCGCTCGGCTGAGATCTTGTCTAACGCTTTTTCCCGCGCTTCTTCGCTCGGTAGTTCGGATAACGAGGCTTTGGAAGGAACGGGGAGCCGATCCGCCGCCCGCTGTTAGTGAGGAAGACGCGTGTGAGATTCCGCACGCTTGTCAAGCAGGTCGTGAGACAGTTCCGTCCCTGCCAGAAGCGGTCGTAACTCGTTGAGTTGCGGAAGACGAGCATGAGGCCCACGACTATCGAGAGGCTAGGCACAATGGATCCCGGCAATCCCAGATGGCCGCGGAGGTGGTGGTTGGTGTAGACGACCAGCGCCGTGAAGAGCGAGTGGAGGAGGACGGGCAGCAATATAGCGCCATGGATGGCACCTTTTACGAAGCGGAGGACCAACGGCCAACGGCGGGGTTTGCGGCGCGATTGTTGGGTTAGAGGGAAGGTGGGAGTTCGGCGGTGGTGCCGGTCTGTTGGTATTGGCTGTGAGGCGCTTCTGCGGAGGCCGGGTGGGGCAGTTGTGTGATTGAGCATTGCAGCAAGCAAGGCTGGGAGTCTAGTGACAGCGAACAGCAACCAGTGCTACCAGAGCTATACATTATGAAGATGCTGCTCCCGACATAAGGCATGAGGATGTCCGGGGAAGAGATGCGGCTCCTCGCGGCGCGCGGTCCGGCCCGTTGCGGCCCGCATCAAGCCTCCCAGCTGCCACCCCACCCTCCCGGTTTGAGGTGATTTCCCTCACTCCTTCAAATTTCGAACGCAAGTCATTAGCATTTGTCCCAAATCTGTCCCATTGGGCCAATTCGCCATGGAACTCCCAAAAGAGCAACCTGCACAAGCAGTCGTCCTCCCCTCGAACTACACCTCCACGAATCCGCCAGAATCATTCGCCGACTCTCATCGAGGCGAGTTGACATGGCATACGCTATTCTCAAACCCCTCCACACCGACTAGCAATATGTCGGCGGGTATAGCCGTCTGTCCTCCGCGGACCGGCCATCTCCGTCAGCACCGCCATGCTCAAGCCGAGATCTACTACATTCTCGAGGGGCGTGGGACTGTCGTGGTCAATGGAGTAGAACACCCAGTTGAGAAAGGATGTGCAGTGTTTATACCTGGGGATGCTGAGCATGGGGTGACCAACGATGCGGAGGACGAGCTGAAGTGGCTATATGTCTTTCCGACGGGGGCGTTCACCGATGTACATTACAGGTTCTCACACGAGGTGGGAAAGGAAAGCTAAATACCTCTGTCGGAGAGCTTTCGAGTCATTCCACGTACCCCGCCAAAACTTGCCAGCTCCAGGCATCGCACAGGTCTGAACATCAATGTTCTGCCACAGATACGGATCACGTCCAAATATTAGATGCCATAGCGCAAATCGAACTGCTGATGCACCCCGACAGCCTTTGGTCATCGTGTGCACATACGAGTCGAGTCCCGCTGTCGCACCCCGAAGATCGCTACTTGGTAGATGATTGTTTTCAGCATTTGTAGGACTGGAACGTTATCAGCCGACGTTGACAGTCATGCGTCTTAGGGTAAGCGCAGGATGAGGAGGCCCGAAATCGAAATCGCTGATCAACAACCCGAGAACGATGTCCCGAACCGATTATCCTGCAGTATGGAATCCTTGCGTATGCCTATAGCGATTACATAGCCCAGCTGTGATCTAAGTCGTGACGAGCATACTATGGGATACGTCGCCGCCGATATAGGGGGAGGTGGGCACCGTAGAAATCAGATATGGTGAGGGAGGGGTTCTGAGCTATGCCATCGAAACAGGATTACAATGATAGTTGTATATTCTGCAACTGGTATCCGTGATGTTCTTATTAGTGATAATATAGCCTTGAGGCTTGAAGACAGCCACGGTCAATGCTCTGTTAGTGAGCTCTTCAAGCTCTCCGCCCTGCTGTGTGAAAGAAAGTTCGGCCTCTTCACAGGGGACGAGTAAGGCTCGAATATAGTCTTAGTAGTTCATCGTGACTTGCACAAATGGTCAAAAGACGAGCAGCTTGTAAGTGACTTTTGATCTTCAAAGCCTTTTGTGTGAACCTGGAATGAAGATCAAAAGGAAAGGCGAAAGCACATTCGAGGGAAAAAAAAACGCAAAAGATAATGGAAGCCCGATGCGGGGGTCTGAATGCGATGTTAGAATATGTTCGGGATTGCATGATCTCGAACTGAGGACTTACCGAACCCGCAACCTTGAGATTAAGAGTCTCACGCTCTACCGATTGAGCTAACCGGGCTGTTATTGAAACTCTGGAAGGCTTTAAAAATTTATCAATGCAGAATGGAGCCCCACTTCAGCCCTGGGACAGCTGCCCCACTACTTTCGTTCTACGTCAGAGAACTGGCTACAAAGCAACACTCCGTACTTTACACAATATCTCATCAATGCCTTCCAGCTGGTAGGAATAGCTAATATACTAGTCTGAGGCTGGCAACAATTGCAGTATCTTCGGCCTTGGTAAGTTCTCACGCTCCTGACGTGCATCAAACATCACCCTGAATTACATCGACAAGTTTAATGCGTCTAGGACCATCCTCAATCAACATTCAAGGGCTCACATTGGGCTCCGTTAATCTCACACACGCGGTTTCCCCTAGACAGTGTGAATCTAGGTTTACCCCTAGCAGATCCGCGACCGAGCCTGCAACGTCACGTACCGGTCACCTTGAAGCCCTTCTGCACCCCGCCAAGACGACAGAACGCGTACAACGCTCCGTCAGACCTTCGGCATCATCGCGCGAAAGCTTGATTGGACATGGCAATGGACAGAAAAGAATCTATGCCGCTGGACGCACTGACTCCGGAAACGCCCAAGGTATCCAGCATCCCCAAATATGATCTCCGAGCTTGAAGTTAACCTCCGCTCTGAGAGTGAGCCCGATGGCGGTACAGATGCCGGGGAGCTCCAACATGCTCTTGAGGTGACACCATTAGATCCTCGAACACCCTCCAGCCTCTGACTGCCGCAGGTCGTCTTCGACGCTCAGGATGCTCACCGCCGTAAATCCTCCATAGTCGCCGCAACAGGTCCACGGCCCAAAGCCCATCGCATGCATACCAACTGCTATGTGCATTCGCTACTTGACAAGCAGGATGGCATCTACACCCCAAGATATGCACCGAACGGTGAGGGCATGGCGCAAGAACCCAAGGCGGACAAGGATCCGAGTGGCTACTCAGTATCGTTGGCGCAGTCGCGGATTCTTACCAAGAAGCAGATATCGGATATGGCTTTTGGGATACGGGAACTGGCGAAGAAGCTTGCTCACATTCGGCTGAGGATGGACGTGCGGAACGTATTCGTCTTGACGAAAGCGCATGACGAGAGCTTGATAGGCAAAACCCGGGAGGTCACCGAGTGGCTTCTGAAGAAGGACAAGGCATACACAGTGTACGTCTCCGCCGCCGCCATTCCGACTTTTCTGCGACCTTGACACAGAGCTTAACATGGGTGTTACAGATATGTTGAGGAGACCCTTAAGGACAATTCTACTTTCAATGCACCTACGCTCGTCGATGTCGACCCATCATACCAGAAGCGGCTCAAGTACTGGACCAATGAGTTGTGCCACTACAAGCCTGAAACTTTCGACATCGTCTTAGCAGTAAGCCAGTCTTTTGCCGCTATTGTATATCACTGACCAGCTGCAGCTGGGTGGGGATGGCACTGTTCTGTACGCAAGTTGGCTCTTCCAGCGAATCGTTCCCCCAGTGCTTGCGTTTTCCTTGGGCTCCCTCGGCTTTCTCACAAAGTTCGACTATGGTGCTTTCCCGGATATCCTCACACGAGCGTTCAAGGACGGCATTACGGTCAGCCTGAGGCTGCGCTTCGAGGCCACCGTCATGCGGAAACAACAACGTGATAAGGACGAGGCTCGAAGTCTGGTCGAGGAGCTCATAGGCGACGAAAGCGACGATGACCACACACACAAGCCTGATGGCACACACAACATCTTGAATGATGTCGTAGTGGATCGCGGCCCAAATCCAAGTATGCGTTATCATGCGCTCAACTTTCTGCGCTCGCTGACGTGGCGTAGCAATGTCGAGTCTTGAGATCTTCGGCGATGACGAGCATTTCACCAGCGTGCAGGCTGACGGTATATGCGTCGCAACGCCCACCGGGTCCACCGCCTACAACCTCGCCGCAGGTGGCTCTCTGTGTCATCCAGACAACCCTGTCATCCTCCTCACTGCAATATGCGCTCATACGCTCTCGTTCCGACCTATAATCCTACCAGACACGATAGTCTTACGCATTGGAGTTCCTTTGATGCAAGGACAAGCTCTTGGGCAAGCTTTGATGGACGAGAACGGTTCGTACTTTGATGGATCCCAACTCAAATGTGTTGTGGCTCACTCTTTTAGCGTTGAGCTGTGTCCAGGTGACTATGTCACGGTATCGGCCTCGAGATATCCTTTTCCAGGCGTCTTGCCGCTCGACAGAAAGAGCAAGGACTGGATCGACAGCATCTCGAGGACACTGAACTGGAACTCGAGGCAGCGGCAGAAGGCCTTCAAGGAATGGAAGCCGTAGACAACTGCGTGAAAACGAGCTCTAGCGTTTGTTCTCAGGATCCTAAGACACTGAACACGGCATCATGCGGCGTTGGCGTTTAGATTGCTAGTTGCGGAAAGACATACAATATTTGCGGAGGCACTGCTGGTCCTTCGGCATAGAATAATGCAGTCCAGTACGAATGAAGAGCTTTTGTCAAACAGCTTCATTCTTACAGCATTACCAAATGACCTCCGCGAGTTCAGATTTGACCGACCATAACGTAGATTCGACAGCCTTTTCACAGCCTGAAACGCTACGGAGCTGTAATGACGCGTCCTATCGGGTGACATAATACACTCTTGTGCCAAGGTTGAGAATCTCTGTGATATTTGCACTACTACGAACTTCCCTCGCGGACAGGTCTCAGGCAAGTCCCGCTTACTACACAAGCTGTGGCATCGAACTGTTGTCCGTTCATGTTTCGAGCTTCTGTCCCGTTCTCAAAAACATTATGTGTCAGTTCTCGACGCCCACGGTGCATGTTCACAGCAACATGACATTACTGCCCAGTGAGGTTCGCCGAACAAGACAGGATCGGATGATGAGTGTCGGCGAGACAACGCAAGGCTCAGCTGCGAGTTGGTCCTTCATTGGAGATTGAGTGCATGTGAGTGTGTCTCTGGTGGTAGCTTGAGGAAACGTGGAGCGCAAGAGGCTAGTAATAGACTTGTAATTACTTGATTAAGTATAACCAAATGGACTTGAATTACCGTTTGCCAATAGGCGGGTCATGAGTCTGACTAGTGGATAGTTGCTTTGAACCTCGGGGATGGTCCGGATGGACGAGATTTATTCAAACGTGCTATCCACTTGCCAGGGAGAAGGGCACCTTACACACCTCACAGCGGAAGCCATCGAACCTTCTCAATACTGGCTTCCTAGCGGATTGCAGCTTCTAGCGGAAGGAGAAGCATGTCAACAAGCCTAGGTACTCGGCACTCCTTCATGTCACGCAAGACTTGGTTGCCGTTGGTAAACCATCAAGTCGACTACAATCATATATCCCATGTCTTGACATTAAGGACGACTGATTCCAAAATACCATGGCAGAGCACAATGAAATAGTCATGTATGGCTCAACAGCAGAACACGCGTAACCATAAGCGCGGCAAAGATCCAGCCCACCTCTTGCTCGAGCTACACGAGCAGACGCAAAGCAAGCGGCCTCACCGAAACGCTGTCATCTGCCGCTGAACGCCGCATGCTTGCACGTACTTTCACTCCTCGTCCGAATGATCAGAAGTTCGGGAAGTCCGCCACCACGCCGGCGATCAGTGCTTTTCACGAGAGCACGTGGTGTGCTAAACGGTCAACTTCAGGCAAGCCGTGACCGGTGTTGACTAGGCTGCTCACGGGTTCCGGCAAGGTTGCAAGTCTTTCTTTTCACATTCTCAACAAGCCACGGAAGCGTGGATCGAGCGCTACGGAGGAACGATAACCACAATGGAAGCACGGAAAGCCGGGGAAGTCTTTTGCAAGTTCGATGCAGGTAGTCGATGCTTGCCGGAGGCTACGACGTCTTCAGAGCCGGACTTCGATCATGAGGGGTCAAGCCGGATGTAAGACGGGACTGTCGCGAGACTGAGACGACTTGGAGGTTCCCGCTTCAGCGACGGCGTTGATAGCGGAGATACGCTGTCGCTCCTAGGTGCAAGGAGATGCTGAGGGCTCCTAGTTAGGGAGCCTCTATGGTTGAGTGACCGGTCTGGAGTGTTACAACTGAACGCTGCGTGATAACATGGAGGGATAGACCCGCTTGACCGTTGCTTGCTGGATGAGCCGGGGCACCTCTGGGATCTGCTGAGCGGCTCACAGAACATCTCGAGCTGCTCTTACTTACGTTGTCTTAATTACAACGCTAACACGACCAATCTCACGATAGCGGGATTACCTGCATAGGAATAAAGTTTTAACCTAGCTTGTACAGTCTGTGCCTGCAAGGGTTACGAATGTGGAGACGGCCCATGTCATGTAGTCTTCGAGAAGTGGACAGTGAGAAAATGCTAAGGTAAGAGTGCTGCATGCAAAGTGGGACAGCGCGCTCTTCCGGAGCCCAGACCGACTAGATTAAAGTTTAGCGCAGCGCGCAATTGCGTGCTACTGCACTAAAGATATTGTTCTGGATACCGGATTGCAAAGGCAGATCCTTCTGCATATCAAACATATCCTGTAGCCCTTGGGTCCCGACGGTGGAGTGACTTCATGTTCGTGCGGTTGGCGCGGCCAAGGTGACTCTGAAGCGTGCGACTAGTAGCTCACACCTGTAGTGACTCGGAAGCGCACTGTGGATAGCACGGGCAATGCACTGGGCTCGGAAAGCGGTAAATCAGACTTTAGTGTTTTCGTGTCTCCGACTTAGCAGACGTAAAGCAAATAAGACACGGCATAACACAAAGCGAGGGACATGTTCTGTTAGTAAGATCGCGGCTGCCCCGGGAATAGACTTTGCCTTTGGCGCAGATGCCTTCCACGTTCAGCATTTGCATACACGATTCCTTGTACTGTAACAGTGGATGCAATATGCAGGTCCGTTCGCAAGCCATGACTTTGACGGGTTTGATGAAGAAATGATTGGCTGGTGCTCGTACCACAAGCAACTGAGAAAAATTCCACTCCGCCACGAAAGACCTTCTTCGATTAACCCGGCATGCGTCTGAACGCCACATGGCGGTACA